AGTAGTGTAGTTAGTTACTATGAAAACGACTTGAAAATGATAATCTGGAGACTCAGCACTCTTACTTGTGGCAATGAGGTGGTGGTTTTATGTTTCTGTAAACAGACACATCTTTAGAATATGAGAAAGTTTTCCATTAAATTCTGTTGGGAAATAATGAGTTCCACTGCTTATAGAACTGAACTCACAGATATGCAATGAAAGAAACAGAAGTGGGCTTGCTACACCAGCTTTATGACAGTGAAGGCTTGGCCAGCCTGTGAAAAGATGCTCTGAACTTGGTGTATGTGTCTGAGTGAGCAAATACTCACTACCATCACTTATATGGGGTCCTCTGGGGCTCCCTGCAGCTCTGCTCTATGTTCAGATACCATTTGAAGAGCTTTCCTAATCCAGGAAGCTAACAGATTACATAAACAAAACAAGTCCAGGAATTTTGTAGAGGAAAATAAGTAGAGAAGAGCAAGAAAAACATTTCAAAACCTCAAATTTATACAGTAAATCATTTAAAGTTAAAAACAGGTTATCTAGACTTATTTGAATATACTATTAAAGAACAGTGCTTCAAATACATATTACCTAAGGTCAAATAGTGATAAGATGTTAGCTGTCATAATGCCTGGTGGCTTTCTGGGGAAAAAGGTAAATTAAGCAGAAACACATGTGCTTTCTACTCTGGAGGTTCTTCATTTCAGGCTTTACCCAGCATGATGCATGCACAATGCACGAGCAGCTTTATTTACTTCTAACTTTCTCCTCCCAACACTGAAATTGACTGCTATGAAATCCACTCTACAAAATACTCTCTTGACATGCGTGCATCGCAAAACTTATCTCCACCGTCCTGTTGATACTCTCTTCCTTCCCCAATGTTTCTACCAGGCATTTCTACAGGAATAAAACTCGGATTAAATTGGGTCTGTCTTGTAATTTTTAGTGAGTTGCCATTACTACAAACAAAACTATTTGCATACCTACACAGAAGTGCAAATGCACACATGTGCAT